ATTACCTGTCCTCAACCAAAGGTTCAAAAATAAATAACTCATTATGATGTGAGTTGTGTAAAATTTATAGTTTAGTAAATATTAAGGAACATATGAGTGCTGCCAAGAGAAAACCTGTAAGCCAATTTTGAGGCATCAATAAGGCGAGTTTGCCCCTGGGAAAATTGTGATATGACGTATTAAATCATTGTATACAATTAGTATTCTGATTGTTTCTATATTATAGAAACAATCAGTATTCTGATTGTTTCTATATTATAGAAACAATCAGAATACTGATTGTATACAATGATTTAATACGTCATATCACAATTTTCCCAGGGCAAACTCGCCTTATTGATGCCTCAAAATTGGCTTACAGGTTTTCCCTTGGCAGCACTCATATGATTTTGTTTATTATAGTGATAATAAATAATTCTTTTAATTATTTTTTATGTGATCCGCTAAACTATTTAGGAGCTTGAATGAAAATGAATTAAGTCAAGTGTTCTCTCTCGTAGAAATCTTTAAAAGTCCTATTCTGCCAACACAAATTCCTCTGCTTTTTTTCTCATTTAAAAAAGTTTGACAAAAGAATAGTAAGACAATTTTAATTTTCTTTGTTTTGTTTTTTTTGGACTATTAATTAAAGCGTGCACTTAATAGACAAAATGGGCTTCGACTTCGGAGACTTCCTTGGAAAAGCCGTCACTACTGTTGCAACAATCGGAACAGCAGCGGTAATAACAGCCGCCACTGGAGGAACAGGATTAATAGTCATTGGTGGTTTGACGACAGCAAGTGGTTTCTGCTTTGAACAAGCAGGTAAAGAAGCTAATGATGAAACCCTTAAAAAAGTCGGTGGTTTTATCAAAGGAGTAGGTTTAACAACCGCTACTGGTGGTGGTTTACCTGCTGTTTGTAATGTTGTTGCCGAAAAGGTCACTGTAGCAGAAGAAGCTATTAAATTTGGAATTCAGACTTACCAAAGTTATGAAGATGCTGTAGACACAGTAAAAACTGTTAGTAAATGGACAAATAATTGATCTTTTATTCTCTATAGTTTCTAAACTGTTTGTTTTAAAAGTAGTTTTTTTTGTTGAATTATTCAGTCTTGTTATAACAATAATTGCTCATGTAATACAATAAAGAATAGCGCACTCATTATTATGTTAGCAAAAGTCTCTAATGGTAAGGTTTAAATACTGTAGTTTTAGTCTACTAACTAATTAATGTTTACTCCTTTTAGTCCAGTAGTAACTAATTACTAGATGAATTAAAATTTTGGCTTCTCTACTTGATTACAAGGACTCTTGTATCTTTTCTGTCATATCTTCTTGAACTAATCCTTTGATTGCCTTGGATCTTGTTGATTATTCGAAAAAGATGCATATTTGTCGATCTTTCATTGTGGCGGTTGAACCAAAAGTGGACACAATTAGGGATGGGTTCAGCCCGAAAATACGGAAGATCCCGTAAACATGATATTTACAGCTGTTGGTAAAAAATTGACCGAATGATTATTTGGCCGATTCGATAAGATATTGATTCGGCAATAATAAACTTTTGATTTGA